TCCCTAACCTTAACCATGTTTTTGCTGCCAGAAAGACATTGCTATGTTACACTTTTCAATCCAGAAAACATTTCATTGCCACAATTTTGGAGCTAGTGTGGTTTGCATTGCGGACCAACTTAGCTATTATACATTTTGCTGTCCAACTGGGCTGATATAGAGTAACTATGACACTACAGCCATCAGCCATTAGCTTAGCTTAGCCCAAAAACCGGAAACAGTGCAACAGCTAACCTGGTTCTGTCTAGCTGTATGCTGGTAAAGCCATACACCAGCATCTCTCTAAAGCTTTCTTATTAACACATTATATCTAAAGTGTAAAAATGACATTTCGTTATTTATTGGCTGACAGCAGTGACTAACTGGAGTCATAGTGTTGACAAAACCCCAGGAAGTGACTGCTCCCAGCCAAAAATAGTTGCTGCTAGTGGTAGTTTCATGTTTACTGCACAGACATGAAAGCAATATGAACTCCCTTCCCATATAGCTCTCAGCAAGCGAGTGAATAAACATATTTCCAAAAATGATGAACTATTCCTTTAAAGCTAGTAACATTTTACATCAGTGCTGAAGCTTCTTTAAATGTTCCTTGTTGCTTTTTCCTGTCAAATTATTCAGAATTTTCTCTGAAATGTGTTCTTATATAACAAAAAAATGGAATTTAAATCATTCCGCATGTTTAACTTCCCCAGTGTAACTCCTACTAATGAAATTCTTTGAGGTGGGTTATAATATGTAGTTTATTAGCTTATAGCTGGTTTCATTACAGATTTTATAGACTGTCCCTGAAGCTGTTGATTAAAATCCTCCCACATCTCCTCTGTGGGATAAATTCCCTGGTTACGCATCTGAAATAAAAAATAATATTAGTAAAATGGCATTTCTGGCTGTGGTCAGGAAAGTGCACCCATCTTATTGGAAGTAGATGGCACTGACTCACCAATCCTAATTTTTAATGGAAGGCCAATATCAGACTAAAATTTCAGCTCAACTTTATCTCAGCTTTGCAGCTTTCTATTGGAAGTATTAAATAAAACCAGTGAATATATATTGAAAAGCACTAACAAATTTTCTTTTTCAGTTTATCAAAATCAAACAAAATAGCAACCGGAGACTGATACACAACATTTATCAAAGAAAAACAGGAACAATGAACGTTAAGGTCTAAATCAAGAAGGTCTTGCACTTTATGAAGCGAACACACTGAAAACAAAGCTCTCAGTTACACAAACACCATCTGGCGGGTTTGCCAGGGCTTTATCTTGACAGGATAAATTAGTTTGAAAAACTGTCAGATACACCATGCAAAATTAGATTTTCTCATTTCATAATAAAAGGCGACAGACTGTAATGAAAAACCACTCGATCTTAAAAACACCCAGGGTGAAGTGTAGAAGTCTGGCTGGTAAAACTTTCCCACTTTTTTTGGGGGGGGGGAATCTAATTGTGTTATTCTCTTTTCAATATCTGGAGTATTTTTTTGTCCCTAAATTGGATGTTCTAATTCAGTTTGGGCTGGAGTTTGATGTTATTTCTGACGGCTGTTTGTGTCATTCTTGTCAAATATAAGCAGTTTATTTTGAAGTGAGTTGTGCCTCTCCGTGTGTACACTGCTGTGACCTGAGGTATAATGGGATTATCATGCTCTAGGCCAGATGCAGATGCCTTGAATTCCAATATCAAAGCATTCCTTCCTATACCTATAGTAACACCTCCTCTTTGCTGTATTTCTCACACCTGACTGGACTGTTAGGTGATTAGTCCGTGAAACACAACACAGCCTACAAGCTTCTTTGTTAAGTCATTCACACATCCTGTTGAGGTTTCCTA